CCCCAACCCAGCCTTTGTGCCCAAAAGCATTAATGCTTCCTTCAAATCCAGGTGAATTTCATTGGCTGGACTTTTTCCTCCTCCCCATAATTCTGAGGAGGAGGCGGCTTCGCACCTTCTCTGCCCGGTGCGCGCGCTTGCACGATATGTGTCACGCACTTCAGGGATTCGTCGCTCACAAAACCTGTTTGTGCACTACAGGGAGTCTTCCCTTGGTCAGGCGCTGTCGGCCCAGCGTCTTTCACACTGGCTGTGTGATGCCATTTCCCTCGCTTACACATCATCAGGGCAGGATCCCCCTGAGGCACTCAGGGCTCACTCAGCCAGAGGGATTTCCTCTTCTATGGCGCTCCTCAGTGGTGTGTCAATGGAAGACATTTGTCAGGCTGCTTCATGGGCTTCACCCTGTTCCTTTACTCGTTATTATTTACGAGATGTGTCTTCAGGTTCCATCACTCGTTCAGTGCTTGGACCCCAGCAGGCTAAATGAATGCTTATGGCACCTCATTGGCCTTGCTGGGATGGATTTCATCCTCTTGTGGATGATATTTTTTAGTGGGGCCCCCTCTTTTATCGTGGCTGCCTCAGTCTTTAAGCCTGGTCTGAGGCTGAACGTCCCCCACTAGAGGAGATTTGATTGGGTGTGTCCATTGGTTGTGTTAACCAGAGGGGCGTAAACCCATCCAGCTGCGCTTTATTCCAATAGCAGCTAGCTTAAGGGCTAAGACTAGACGAAATAGAACGTTGGTTACGTATTGTAACCCCAGATTCTATGAGTCTAGTCACAGCCCTTAAGCCACTGGCCCCACAGGTTATGATGGGAATAAGAGCCATTGGAGGTGAGCAGTAGGGTCACTGCGGTTATATACCACGAGGGGCCCCACTATTGGCGGGTGTACATTTTAGCTCTTCATGATTGGCTGATGCGGAGATCATCCTTCCAATAGCAGCTAGCTTAAGGGCTGCGACTAGACTCATAGAATCTGGGGTTACAATACGTAACCAACGTTTTCAAACTTCTGGTTTTGATAATAAACCTGGCAATAAAGGGGTTAAATCTGAGAAACACACATATTTTATTATATTTTGTTAGGGCTGAAGCCAAGGATTAAATTCTTGTAAAAAAATAGGACTTATGAAATATTATATAATATTTCTATAGGAAGCTTTCTAAGTGCATTTTTTTGTGCTCAGAGGACATTAACGTTAGAAAATTTAAACGTTGGGTAAGGGTTAAATATATGAAAATGTTGCCAAGTATCCCTTTAACTTAAAAGGTAAAAAGTATATATTAGAAACATTAAAGTTGTGACAATTCTTAAGGTTAAAACTGAATATTTAGCATTCTAGGAGGGAAATATCAAGTAGCTTTCTTGCCTTTAATTAGAGTTTAGTATTTAGACAGATAAGTAAATGACATGCTGGTAGAAATATCCCTGACAGAATCCTTTTCTTTTCTGTTTAGGCTACACGCTGGCCACCAAACTGAGGAGACACATGAGGTCTTCCCATCTGAAAGAAAAGCCATACAGTTGCTCCTGCGGTGCTTCCTACACTGTGAAACAAAGTCTGCTGAGACACCAGGCACAGCACAGGATGGAGGCAGGAGGTCAGAAGGAGGTGGAAGGAGAACAGAGAGAGGAGGTAGACCAAAATGCTGAGCAGGAGCCAGAGGCTTTAAGCTGTAGTCACTCTAAACCGGTTCGAGGCAGACCAAAGAAAGGTCTGCGCCTTCAAGAGTCTGGGGGGAGGGGAGGAGGAGATGCTGAGCAGAGAAGAGAGCTAGGAGAAGATGAGATCATGAGTGTTGAAACAGCAACCAGAGGAGCAGAAGAGACTCCAGGCGACGTCCAGCACACTGTTGTCTAGGTCCACTCAGATGACCTGTCTGCACCGACCTCCACTCCCCTGCTCCTAGATGCAGAGGACTTGCTGCCTGCAGGAACAGAGCCAGGGCTGGTGGAGGTGGTGATATCGGATGGCGTGGAGCAGTGCATCATGGTCCAGGGTCAGCAAATGGTGGGAGAGCTGCTGATCCTGCAGGAGGAAGAGGGTGGACTCTGCACTGTGGCTCAGACTGTTGAGATAAAAACAATATAACCAAAACCCTCAGCTGGAGCGTCTCAGGCCAGTGACTCAGTGAACCTCCCTTCTTCCAGCCTACCTCAACTACAGGTGTTGTGTTCATGGCAGGAAGGATTTAAAGTGGTTAAATGCTAATTTTACACAAAAATTCCAGCAAACAAAGATGGAACCTTGTTTTTATTTTATCATGCCTGTGTATGTTGCCAACACTCGACTCCGAAATTAGTTGATTTTTGTTGATGGGGAGAACTTACCTCGTCACATTCCTGTAAAAGTGCACTGAAAATATCCCAGCGTTACATCACTTCTTCAACATTTACCTGGTTATCTCCTGGAGGCAAAGGAATAGAATAAAACTTCAGTGAACTTCTGGAAAGTGGCTGACTGTGTGAGCGCAGACTCCAATAAAATCCAAAATAATACAGAAATGGGAAATCCTACATTTCAAATTGTATTTTTTTTATTTTTTGTAAAAGCAGTTTTCATAAGGAAACAAGGAGCAAAGGAACAGATGAAACAGTCTCAATACCCAAGCAAACTAACTTCCTGATTCTTTCCAAATTCAGACTGTGAAAAGGTTTTTTGGTCCTGGTTAGGGATGTAAGAAAATGTCGTTATGGCAATATGTCATTATAAATTTTCAAGCGATATATCTATATTCAAAAGCCGTGTATCTAATTTTTTGGAAAAATTTACATGCATTTATGTATTTTCTTTTCTTTTGGTGCAATTCAAACACCAACCGCTAAATGGCAGCAGTGTGCGATGGGGTTTGTTTCCACCATTAATATGTAAATCCCTCTGTTATGGTTCAGATACCTGATGTTAAACATGTTACATATCAGTTTGGACTGTTTATCGAATATTCCTATGGAAAAATCAGTCTAAAGAATCGCTAATATCGACTGAATTTATGGCAATATATCGTGATACATTGTATCCTTTCCCTGTATTGTGATACTTATCGTATCGCCATACACATCCCTAGTCCTGGTGATCCACGGCACAAGTGTGGGAGGCAAAAAGGCTCATAACTCATGGATGTAAAGGCAAATGGGTTCAAATCGGTTTGTTCAAACACGATCTAGTGACTAATAAATGCTGGTACATACAAAAAAGCCCCATTATGTATAAAACAATAAAAACACATCTAGTATGGAACACTTTCACCTCTAATGCACGGGTTAGCTTTAGGTTGTTTATAATTGGTCATGCTGTGGTGGTGATGTGGTGCAATTGGGTCCTTTTTACAAAAGGCATAAACGGGGTATGGGGGCGGTCTCTGCACTGCTGCAGACTTCCGCTTAACTTGGACATAACTTGGGTTTTATTGCGATCGAAGCCACACTCATTAGGTTTTTTTTGTTCTTTTTAACAAGCCGCTCCTTAAGGTGTCTGTCCCCCACAGTCCATGCAGTCACTGGTGATCTGACCTCCAGCTCTAACAGAGAGAAGCTCCAGGAGCGCTGCATCGCTCCAGATTATCATCTCAGCTGATTCTGTTCACAAAAACAAAACTTAGGCCTGTTTTTACTTTCATTTTAGTTGCCGCCCGGGGCTCGGCAGTAATGGTCCATTCCCTTCTGTACCGGGTCGGCCCGGGCCGGGTAGCCCCAGTCGGCCCCAGCCTGGCCCGGTTGATTCCACAAATCCTTGTCTTAAGCCCATGTGGGCTGATTCTACCCACCAATCAGAGGCTTGCTCTAATGCAGACCTGGGCATTTTACGGCCCGCGGGCCACATACGGCCCTTTGGTTGACTTTGACCGGCCCGCGTAAGGTTAATTGGAAATTACAAAATAAATGTATTTTCTCATTTTACCTCATGCATGGGCTAAGGCTGCATTGCTTTTATTTTGAAGTTGTTTTTTACGTGCACAATGACGCAATACGTATAGCAACAAGTGCCCGCGGTTGACAGGGTGATTGTAGCCCGAGAAATGTCCGCTCATGCAAAAAAAAAAAAAAAAAAAGAAAGATGCCGAATGCAGGATTTTCAACAAAAATTGGACTGCTAAGTATTTTTTTTACTGAATTCGGAGGTAAAGCCGTGTGTTTGGTTTGCGGGGAGGAGATTGCCGTGTTTAAGGACTACAATTTGAGTCGGCATTACGACAAGAAACACTCGGAAAAATACAAGAACTCATCTGATGCTGAGAGGGCACGGACATCCGAAGCTTTGCTAGCAAAGTTGCAAAAGCAGCAAGGCTGTTTTACTAAGCTTCACACATCCAGGGATGCAGCAACCAGGACCAGCTTTGTGATATCCCACAAAACAGCTAAAGACAGCAAGCCGTTTTCAGAGAGAGAGTTTGTCAAAGAGTGCATGGTGGACTCTGCCGCACTAATATGCCCTGAAAAAAAGGCGCATTTGAGCAAATCCCGCTGTCCAGGCGAACCGTGACCAGGAGGATCGAGGACATTGCGGGGAACCTGGAGCTTCAGCTGCAACGTGAAGTGGCAAGTTTTGACTTTTTCTCATTAGACGAGAGCTGTGATGTCCGCGACACAGCCCAGCTGCTCGTATTTGTCCGGGGGATAACGGAGCTCACAGAGGAGCGGGCAGCAATGCGGCCGATGAAAGGGACAAAGACAGGGAGTGATCTTTTTACAGAGGTAAATGCGTGCACGGACACTCTGGGATTGAAATGGGAGAGACAGTCAGGTGTCACAACAGACGGTTGTCCAAATCTTACAGGGAAAAATGTCGGACTTTTGAAACATATGCAAGATAAAGTGACAGAAATCGATGCAGATCAAAAATTGGTGTTTTTTGCATTGAATTATACACCAACATGTGTTTTGCAAGTCAGTGCTAAAAATCAACCATGTTACTGATGTTGTTACTAAAATAATAAACTTCATCAGGGCGCGGACAATGGATCACAGACAGTTTGTCGCTCTTTAGGAGGACTCCACACAGCTGTCAGATGGCTCAGCCTGGGGAAAGTGCTGAAGAGGGTTTGGGACTTGAAAGCAGAGATTCAGGATCTCTGCTGGATTTCTACTCTTCTCTTAAGGAGGATTTTCCAAACCTGAGGAGACATGCTCAGAAGATGTTGGTTTTCTTCGGCTCTACCTACATTTGTGAACAAACATTTTCAATGATGAAGTTTACAAAATCCAGGTAAAGATCCTCTCTCACTGATGATCATTTGTCAGCTGTGCTTCGCATCTCCACCTCAGACATTCAACCTGACTGATGCACTCGTTAAAGCCCAGCAGAGACTAGATTTCTCTCATTGAATAAGAAAAAAATCACTTAAAAACACAAAATAAGGTGTTTGGACCACAAATGTAGGCAACTAGCAGTGAACTGGGACACTTTTTTTTAAACCTCTTTCTCAAGATCACAGTTCAGTGATTTTATTTTACAGACAATACTGTGTGTCTGTAGAACGCTAAGAACCTCTTTCCAACAATATTTGAAACTCAAAATGTGTTTTGGAGTGAATGTGACTAAAACTGTTAACTAATATAAGTCACAAATGTTTAACAAAAACCAAATGCGCACTTTGTTTACCATTGCCTTGGGAAATTTGAATAAATCACATTTTTGTAAGCCAACCTCACTTTTTCCTTTTTGCTCATTTATAACATATAGTCTACTCTTACCAGCTTGAAAAAACAATGGTATTTACTGCTTTTTATAAAGAAATACCACTAATATTATGCATAATTGACTTCAGCCTTTTGGCCTGGCCCTCCACAATATTTTCTATTTCTCATGTGGCCCCATGGAAAAAATAATTGCCCACCCCTGCTCTAATGGAAGGTGGGAATTTGCTGTCAGCAGTGGGTGTGTTGGCCCTGGTCGGCCTGAAGCAGACCCCCTCGAGAAGAGGGCTGAGAATGAGCCTTGGTTGGCCCGGAAAAATACCAGGCCACCCAGATATGTAAACAACCTACGCTACCCAGCCCGGGCCGACCCGGTACAGATGGGAATGGCCCGTTACTCTCCACGTGATCATGACCCCATCCTTTGTTGCACCAAGGTACAATCGCCGATTATAAGACAGACAATTACCGCAATATTACTACCGAGCAAGGTGGAACAAATGCAGAAATTTCCGCGCAACGTCATGCCAGCATGGCGTGTTCATAAGACACACCCTTGTTGTAATATTACGCTGATTTGCCAGCACGGTGTGTAAAAAGGGCAACAGGCAGCGTTACAACAAAATGTCAGCACCAAAGCTGAATGTATTCATGTGCCTGAGACATTATTCTCACCTTATTTTTTCAATTTGAAAGGAGAAAAGTGTCCTCACTGCATTTTATTAAACACTCACAAAGGAATGAATTTAACCAGTGTGAAATGTGTCGCATTAATTCTTTTGTGCAAATGTAAATGTGAGCCTGGGATTCTCCAACTCCGATTGCTCTGTTGTCTCTTAAAAGAGAAACACTTTAACATGAAGTAAACCTTCTGGCTCTGAGCAGTGTAAAACTCCTTCTGCTGCGTGACAACAAACACCTAAGCCCTCGATGCCAGATCTGTAAAATTAATCGGTCTGGTACAGTTAGGGGGATGTTGTTTTGAACTGTAATAGATTTCAAGAGTCCACTGGATCTTAGGTTTTATTTTTACAGTGTAATGAGCAGAAACAGGAGCCTTTCTCATGGATACTCTGCTTAGAAAAAAATGAAAAGGGGGGGGGGGTGTTCACTTTCATTATGTTTTAAAGGAGACATAACATGAAAAACCCACTTTTTTATCCATTAACACAGTGTGTTTCACATTTTAAGTGTCTAAGTGAGCAAAAAGGCTTATATTATTCACTGGAGTTGCTATTTAGATATTTAATAATTAAGTTTTGGGCATATTTGTCCACCCGTTCAGTTTTTCACATTATCTATTACATCAGTAATTTATTTCGTCAGGATAACTACCAAATATGGTAATGGCCCTCGGCTAAACACAGAGCCAATCTGCCATTTTTTCTTCTCGCTAAGATTTTTTGTAGTCCTATTGGAAAAATGCAGAATGTCTGGTTATTTTAGCCACACACAGCTCAAAACTGTTCCTCGTTTTAAGGAAGGGTGGTGTGGCAGTATTTAAACCCAGGAGCTGATGACACTACTGCTAAAAAAACACAGAAGAAAAAGTAGTGTGTTTGTGTTTGTTTGTGTGTGTGTGTGTGTGTGTGTGTGTGTGTGTGTGTGTGTGTGTGTGTGTGTGTGTGTGTGTGTGTGTGTGCGTGCGTGCGTGGTTCGTTCGTTCTGTCTCCAGGCTAGTGGCTAAGTACTGAGGGCTCCATCTGAATTTGGCAGCACCGGGACACAGCAGCAGAGCGGTAAGCTTCATATAACTCTAAAATGTCGACAAACTTTACTTTAGATTTATGGGCATTAGCAGCACTAAAGCGTTAGCATCCGGCTTGCTATCGCTAGCACAGTATGCTAGTAAAGTTAGCACCTAGATTAATGTGGATTTGGCTGATTTTCGTGGAATAAAACGTGATTTCTGATCAACGCCTTCTTTTACACCAGATGATAACCTCCCACTGATTGTAACAGCAGAGAGCCTGTGTGTTATTCTACGTGAGTGTGATGTAATCTTAGCATCCAGCAAATAAAGTCCCATATCAGCTAAAATGCAGCGTGACAAAGTCATTAAAGTGCGTCAACACAGTGGATTTAATAGAGTTTTAAAGAACGATCTCTGAGTGGAGTGAGGTTAGTTTTTTTGTCTCACTGCAGATATAAAAACTAACTCTGCATCAGTCAGACGCAGCAAAGCTCACCGTCTGTATGAGCGTGAGCGTCGGAAAGCTGATAAAATCGGCTGTAAAATAATTAAAACAAAAGTAAAAATGCTCCTTTGCTTTTTAGAGTCAACATCCAGAAGTCTGGAGCCGTGTTTCACTGACAGGCTGTCAGACTAACGCCCTGATGAGCTCAGCAGGGACAAACTGGTCTGATGTTTAGGTAAGTGAAGATCGGCTTCTCCAAGTCCTTGAGATGCTAGTAAAAAATAATGTAGCCAGCTGGCAAATGTTACTTTTCTTCTCCTCTAAGGAACACAGAACGTTCAGATGTTGGCGTTTCACGTCACCTACTGAGGAAGGAGGCTCACCAGTAAAGAGATGGTAGCTGGACCAGACCAAAGTGAGTGATGACACACCTCAGCCACCCTCATCATTAAGAACACCTCACCCCTGAATCACTCCGTCTGATGACAGCAGAGTGATTTATTTGATGTTTTACTTGTTTAGTCTGTTTAGAAATTATTGAATTACATTATTTTCTGTAATCGACCATCTGATCTGGATGTGTGCAGAATAACTTTCCCCAAATTCAGCAGCAGCTGGCCTACAAAAACAGCTGCAGCATGTAGTAAGTCTGTCTGCACTGCTCTCTAATGAGCTTCCTTTCATAAGGAGTCATTTGTATAATTTTAGTGTCACTATTTTATTACATTTGTAAGAATATGAAGTCACTGCAGCAAAGTGAACTTGTGAACAAACACAAACTTGACTATAAACATGAAAGCTAAAGAAACAACTTTCCTAAAGCTGCTTGTAAACAAAATACGTCATTAAAGTTATTGTCTATCATTGCAGAATATGGCGATGACATCATGGAACTGGTCTTTGGAAAAGTTTTCCCTGAACCAACTCCGTTTCTAGATGAGGTAGAGAAGATCTGCATCTCACCAACCCTCTGGTCTCAGTATTCAGACAACGGAGGTCTCCCACTGTTATCCAGGACCAGTTTGAAGCCCACATACTGCCCCTCCCTCATCATCAGGAAACATCAATCCGTTTCCTGAGGACAACAGAAGACGGCAGGAGGACAGGAACTCTGTGACCTAGATACCACCAGCACCGAGACACAAAGCACCTGTGTGCACAACGCCTGTTTAACTACTAAAGCCTGTTTATTATATTGTTCTACTTATTTGCTGTGAGGTTAATACTTAGAAAATTTGTATATTAATGTAAACAATAAAAAAAATCACTGATTGTATGTTTTCTTTTAGATGTAATGGTCCAAACTCAGCCTTGTAGACATTTATTGCATCCTGTAGGTAACAGGCTCAGATCCACGATGACCCAGCATGCTCTTCTTCCATTCTGGCTGTTAGGGATTTTATCAATAACTCAATGCCTACTGATGTTTTAACCTAACAGTATTTATTTAGAATGCAGGTAAGATTTAACTATATTTGTTAGCAAAGCAGACTGATCTTGGGAATTTCACTGCAGCACTGATGTCCACCTCTCTGTACACATTAGAGAGAATTACCACTTTACAGCTAAACACATTTAATAAAGATATAGGCTAAACATTGCAGACAATAAAAACAAAGTTGTAAGCATTAGAATTATAATGATCACATTAAAGAACATTTGGAGGAATGTTCTTTATTTTTGACTAGAATCTCAAATCTTTAAATTAAAATGTAACTGCTTTTTATCCATTTTCAGCCTTTAAGACACCCAATATAAAATAAGACTACTTATAAAATTATTTATAATTATATGTATGTATATAGATAGAGATCTTAATAAAATATATTCTTTTAATGGTGTTTTAATGAGCTGTATCATTTTTTTAAACATTTTTTATAGAAATAAGCAAGCAGCATTCCTTGTGTGTGTGTGTGTGTGTGTGTGTGTGTGTGTGTGTGCGCGCGCGTGTGCCTGCTCGCTTGTTCCTCCGTCGGCCGTGACGGTGTCGGTACAAGATCTGCTCGGGTGCAAGATCGGCTCGGGTCCGTCGACTGCCGATGACGTCTAAGTAGTTGATTGGCTGAACATGAACCTTACGGAATTACGTAATCACGTAACGTTGTTATCACGTGACGTTGGTCCAGGCAAATTTTTTTCTATTGGAAAGATGGACAACTTTTACAAAGAAATCCATCATTACCTCTTTGAAAATACACTTTTAGCATAGAGCTGCAAGTATAATAGGGCTGAACGATTAACTGCATGTGCAATAAAATTGCGATGTGACAAAAGAAGATTTTCTAATGGCAAAGGCTGCAATTTGGCAGCGAGTGGTTAGCGCAATGCTAATATACATGGAAAAACCCATAGGAATGCTAATGCTAATATCGCAGATTACATTATTACAAATTATGAATTAGAAACGTGCCAAATAATTACATTTGGAGTCTAATAGAAAGTAAAAATACCATCAATCAAATAAGTACAGACAGGTATTTTAGTAAAGCCAGGAGATTTTCTAATCTCAAAGGCTGCAATTTGGCAGCGAGTGGTTAGCGCAATGCTAATATACATGGAAAAACCCATAGGAATGCTAATGCTAATATCGCCGATTACATTATTGCAAATAATGAATTACAAACGTGCCAAATGATTACATTTGGAGTCTAATAGTAAAGCCAGAAAACTTTTAACTCCAGAGTTTTGGCTAGCAGCTACAGTCTATGACAAGATGTCAAAAACTCTAAACACAAAATACTTAAATAAACGGGACACACTTCTTTCCTGCAAATTTCACAGGTGTTTCTAATACCTATGATTCTTCAAGGGATGTGCTCAAAGAGGAGTTCAACATTATGAATAAGATATAGTGTTTTATTTTACAAATACCATTATAAACACAAACTTACATCTTAAGAAACGTTATTTTAATAACGAAAGTGCTAAATTCTTTCCAACAGTATCTAGACGTGTAGTGTATTTTGTCCGAGTCGGTTTGCCGTACTTTGACGTCATCGGCAGTCGAAGGACCCCGAGCCGATCTTGCACCCGAGCAGATACTGTACCGACACCGGGTCTGTGTGAGTGACAACAGACAAATGCATGAGAGAGTTAGCAGCCATGAAACAGCTTGATGAACTACTCTCCCCACATGTTTTAAAAATGCTAATATGCTATGCTAAATCTGCTATGCTAAATAATGATTTCTCTATAGAACTACAAAGTCCGACTGGGGGAGGAGAGTACAGGTCTGCACTATGGAGGGGGGGGCAGAGTTTACAGCTCCTCCTCCAGTTTAAAGAGACAGTACCCAAAAACGGCTCGTTCTCAAGACTCTCCTCAGAACAGGGGTAGATGAGGGTCTGTAGAGCAACAATAATGAGGAAATCAGACCAAAGAACTGCAGTTCTACTGTATTTAGACCCCAACTGAAGGATTTAGATGTAAAAAGGAATAACTTAAAAGCATGTTATGTCTCCTTTACATGTATAGGGCTTGTCAGTTTTACGTGTATAGGGCTGGTCAGTTTTACATGTATAGGGCTGGTTACTTTTACGTTTATAGAGCAGGTTAGTTTTACGTGTATAGGGCTGGTTAGTTTTGCGGGTATAGGGTGGATTTGTTGGTTGGTTGGTGTTAGGTAATTTGATTTTATCCCATATTACCTTAAAGGACGACACACCCGGGGAGAGAGAGAGAGAGTAAATTGATTATTTGTAATGTCCATGTGTGTGGCTCAACCAGGCCCCATTCTGCTCCAGCCTCAGCCTTCTGCTCTTACCAGCTTTGCATACCTGCATTCTCCAATTATCTATTAGATAATATTTAACCTCCATAACCCTGGAACCTGAAATAAACACACATGACGACAAGGAAGACATTTTACACTGAATTAGCCAAATGGGGGGGGAGATCACCATGACACATAACTCTCTCCAGAGCTAGCTGCCAGGCGACTCCCCCTTCCTCAAGAGTCTTCAGTGGTTTTATTCACCAAATGGATGGGGGGAGAAGGCGGACCTTCTCAAGTTACAGAGTTACAGAGTTCTCTCAATTAACATCTTTGCTCAACCTTTTTATGAACATACCAACACAGAGATTCATGATGTGTAATGGGCATCTTTTAGGTCTCAAAAAGGTACATTTTTATAAAAATACCCAACATTCCCTCCTGATGTGACTTTTTGAGCAATAAAAGATTAAACCAATAAAACAACATTAACATGAAATTAGGACACACCTAACCTGGAATTTGAAATGACCAATTAATCAATCGGATTTTAGTTCAACATTAAACCAGACACCAAACCCAATTTTATCCTGTATTTCTAGCTTCATTAACTTATCCCCCCTGAATGCTACCTTTGAGCAATGATTATCCTGTCAACAAAACCCAGAGCAAGAGTTAAAACCTGGAATTAGGAATGAATAATCTAGACACCAAAACCTACATAATAATCTTGAATTCCTAGCTTTATTAAAGTAACCCATATCATTTGTCATCAAACACTTGTGGATCTTCTGCTCCACATCAGTCGTTACCTCCTGTGCTGCAATCGATCGCTTGTAGGACTGAACAGGTGTCACAGGTTTTGAGTTTTCTGTGGCTGGCTGACCTGCAGTTCTGGTTCCCTCCTGAAGTTGGTGTTTGACCTCTGCACCTCATCTCCAGTTCAGGTGTGATATCTCGGTCACACTGTGCTCTCAGCTTTGCGTCGTCCCGCTGACGTGTCGACGCAGGTCACTTCCTGAGAGAGCTGACTGGCCCACAGCGGGTTTTGTGGTTTTACATCAGCTTACAGGTTGGTACCGGTTTGGGCTAACTGATCCACTTGGTTTGTGGTTTAACATTAGCTCAGCCGGTGACGGTGGTTTGTATCACTTCCGTCTTGGACTGCAAGTCAGCAGTTAGCCACGTCTTTCGTGCTTCCTCCATCTTGGATTGTGGGCTCCACCTCCTTTTCAACACACCTACAAGTCACAAACGTTTCAAAGACCCACAGCAGGATGCCACAGGCACAGACCAATTTGCATTCTGTTAGACATGCGTTCAACTTCCACAGCTGCTTGCTCAAAGGAACTCAGATCCTCTGAAGTCTTTTCATCGACACTCTTCTCCTGAGTCTGAGCCATTCCTGCATTCGGAGAGTATCAGGACAGGACATAGCAAACCATCTTGTGTTGCAATCACAATACCTTCCTGGTTGTTGAGGGTCAATGGGGCACAAAGCGTCTTGTCCCCGATCTGTGTCCTCTGATGTTTTCTGCAGGAACCAATGCAGCCAGCCACTGATCTTTATCACCTGTTAATCGAGTTCCCATCATCACATCACAGCAGGACACAAATCAAGGAGTCTCCCAGCCTGTCTTGCCTAGGGAACAATTTGCATTTAGGAAAACAGTGTACCCAAAAGTTGTGCTGCCTAATTGTTTAAATTAATAAACATTGATGTCTGGTTTAGCATGAAAATAGCATATGGTCTGTCCTAAATTTTCACAAACAAAATAAAACACATCCAAATTCTTTAAAACTAGCTTGTCTCAAAAGGAGTTAATCAGAGATTCTATCACACTAAGGCGGAGTTTACACAATCACGTCACAGAGGCTTCAAAGAGGTTTTTCACAAAAGGACCCTAGAGTCTTCTAGTCTAGCCTTGATTTAGCTGCTTAGGCTCACACATTTGCATTCAGGCAAAAGGCATTCTAATTTAAATGAACCAGCCCATCTCCACCTTGTAAGGTAATCAAAACTTTATCAGTTACACCACCCCCTCCTGTGGAGGTAGGGTTCTCACACATTTACAGGATCTAAATTAATCAAAAGGAAGTCACTCAGATTTATTAAACCTTATAACCCAAACAGAAAATAAATGATGGTAATAGCTCAAATGTTGAAATAGTTACAAAACAGCCTTACTGTTGAGTAAAATAACATACTACGATCAGCATTATGGTCTGTAGGGGCTGAGTTGATGTTTACATTTCAAACAAGATTTGCATAGAAATAGCATACAGGAAAAATCTAGCACCGTGTTGATTCAATCATGTTATTAAATTAAATCTATCAATGGTCGATAAGACACATTTAACGGGAAGTTTTTACGGTTCATAAAAAATCTAAACACCCTCCTGTAAAGCCAGTCTTATGGCAGAAACACCAAGTTTAACATGATTTAGTCATATGATAAAATGCTGAGATAAAAAACTGTTACTGCATAGTGTAGAATTCTATTTACCTAAGATCATAACCCACTAAAGTAAAACTGAAAAGTTGTATTTTTAATCTTGGTTCATGAGCAAAAGGTATCGTCGGATCCAGAGTAGCTGCTGCACAGCTAATCTACCAGAGCTA